TGGTTAAAAATGGCTTCGAGTGAGTGAAGCCCATGGATCTTGGTGAAGACTACACTTCTTTGAACCTTGTGGACCAGTGCTGCATTATTATGACAAAGTATAGATTTTCAGCAGTGGTAGAACTCCACTACAAAATCACAAATAAAGTATTGTATCAAATAGCTGAAACCACATCACTTAAGGACTACCAACAGCAGAAACAACTAAAATGGATAGCATATGTAACTCAATCAAGATGTTGACATTCCACACTAATTCAAATAAAAGGCTAGGAAGGAAACCTCTATCAATACTGGAAAGAGTGATAACAGTTACTGGACTTGAGAAACCTATTTTCCTGAAAAATTGTTTTAAGAGAAAGATATTAAAAATTTCAAATGAAAACAGGAAATGTCTGAAGAAATGGCTAATATTTCCTTTATCCTTATTCAGAGTTTTATGGCAAGAGCATTGGTGTTGATTTTAATTAGCCTCAATTTATAGACAAGATGAAGAGGAGACTTGAAACAACAGAGATTTGATTCTACAGAAAAATGCTAACAACACCATGGATGAAGCATGTGGACAATGAGGAAGTTTTGTGGAACATAGAAACGAAAAGGATGTTTATACTTAAAATTGGTAAGAGATAGTTGAAATTTTGGGGACATATAATGAGGAAAGAGTATCATCCTTTCTAAATATATAAAAGTTTCAAATTCTTAAAACTTTCCTTCCTCATTATGTGTCTTAGAAACTTCAACTCTTTCTGATTTCTTTTTCCTTAAAACTTGCTAACTGCTTAAATAATCTGCTTATGATATTCTTAGCATTCTTCTGTAAAATCACATCATGTTTTCTTCTTTTTTAGTACTCTGTTATTGTTCACCCTGTTTCCACAAGTCTAGCTCTGTAATATCCAGTTTAAGGAATTGAACTCAGAATTGCTCTGCCCCCAAATTAATAAATGAATACTTTAATCCAAAATTCTCTATGGAGAAATATGAGAAAGGTAAAATGGAGTCATACTTGGAAAAAAAAAAAAAAAAGAAAAAAAGTCAATTGCAAGAAATGAAGAAAAGTATCAAAGGGAAGGAAAGGTATAAAAGAAAAACAAAGAAAGATGATGGAAGAGAGAGAGAGAGAGAGAGAGAGAATATGGGATTAGATAGAGAAGGAAAAGGAAAGTAAATGATATACTAAAATGTAGATTTAACCTAAACATGTAAAATGGAGTGAATGAGTAAGTAATGGAGTAGTTGAGAAATAGGGAGTAAATGTTGTTTGGTTAATGTAAAAACATTGTCTGTTGGTTAAAATAAGAGGCTATTCTGAGGCAGTGTTTATAATCAAATGGAAGTTTTTAGCTAACTCCTAACTGATGGAAACTAAGTAAAACTAATAACAAGAATACAGTGACAGATCCAGACCCAATCACAAGCTAACCCAAACTTTCAGACCTTCAAAGTCATGTACACAGCATCAACTCATCCACTTTCCCTTTATATTCCTTTGGTAAGGAGGATGTTCCACTCAGTTTCTTCCCAGAACTGTTACTTTATGGAACAAACTCCCAAAAGATACTTCCCTAAACCTTACAATCTTAACCTTTTGAAGTCCAGAATCAACAGTCATCTATCCTACATATCCTCATAATATGAATCTCTTCCTTTTCCATTTATGCACTGACAGCAATCTTGAGTGTTGTATTGCATTTTGTCTGTGAGAGAGGGGTTCTAAGGTGGAAAACAATTCATCACCAAGAGTACAGGGAACCATTTTCCCAAAATCTTTAGTACAGGGTGTGATGAGTAAATTGTCACCATTTTATGTTTCTAATTTTGTGCATGTACATTGTTTGTTTTTGATTGGTCAACTACAAAGTATAATATGGTCAGTTGGGTACCTTCAATAAGGAAAAGAGCATGATGCCAGAAATTTGGAAATGATTTTCTGTTCTACTTGGCATTCATACCAGAAGCTCCAATACAAACATTTCAGAGTGTTTTGGTGTCAATCAGAAGTATGTGCAGAGTATTTGGAAAGAAATGGATAAGTCTAATGGAAATTTTGAAGGTACAGCAGCTCGGAAAAATCACTCTGATCATTTTGATAAGAAAAGAACTCCAGAATTTGTTGGTGAGATCCAAGCTATAATTGACAATGATCCCTCCAACTCAATCAGATCCATAAGCAGGAATACAGAAATGTCTAAGATTTTCATCAGGCAGGTATTGCATGAAGACATTTGGTATTTCTGCTACAAAATGAAAAAGGACCAATTTTTATCCCAAGCTATGAGTACAGGAGGAAAGACCACACCACAAAGCTTTTAAACAAACTCAAGCATCCCTTCTAACTGAACATGCTTTGGTTTTTCTCAAATGGTGAACACACTAACAACTGTTGGCTTGCTGTGTCCCAAAAAGATGTACTGAGAGTGACGAAAACCAAATATCCAGTCAACATCATAGTTTTTAGAGTGATCGCTAATGATGCCTCCATTCATCTTCCCACAGGGCCTCAGAATTAACACAGAGGCCTACATCAAGTGCCTTGAGGAAGTAGTGCTTCCCTGCATCAAGAGGGTGGCTGTTGGAAGATTCTATATCTACCAACAGGACTCTGCACTATGTCACACAAGCAAGAGAACCCATTCATGGCTGTCAGACAATTTCTGTGACCCCATCACCTTTTATATCTGGCCACCTAACTCTCCAGACTTCAACCACCTTGATTATTATGTGTGGGGCACAGTTGAGTGATAGACCAACAAAACTCCTTATAATACCAAAGATGAACTGAAGGCAAGGATTATGCCAGCATTCACAAACTTAAAGGACACCATTCAAAAGAGTTGAAGGAGATTCTGAAGTCAATCTGGAGGTCGTGGTTGAAGCCAATGACGATTTTATTGAATAAATTTACTCTTTAATATTTCAAGATATTTTGTATAATTTTGGTAAATATATCTGTTAAAATAAAGATGTTAGTGTTATTTTGATTTTTGCATAATTTAGATGACAATTCACCCCTTGCACCCTGTATATATTAGCTCCACTAAAGCTCTGAGTTGATCTTAAGTCCCAATACATGTTCGAATCAAGGTATCCCCTTGAGAGAACGTCCATTTATTTGACAGATAGAAATTTCAGGAGCTGCTCAGTGATGATGGAATGTTACAACTTTGGTTTTGACAAACCCAAAAATCATACTTATTATAAAACCCAGGTTGTGTGCGTGTGTGTGTGTGTGTCTGTACGTTTATATATTGGATCGGATTTCATACATTTTTCAACCGATTTCAACAAAACTTCACAGGACTACATAAAATTACCTTGCGGTGGTTCTGACAGCTCCAAAAATTGGAAAAAAACAATTGTTTTTGCACGAAATCAATTTGAAAACATGATTAAGAGGCATCGCGAGAATGAAAGGGGGACAACTCATATCGAGTTATACTCATTATAAAACCCTGGTTGTTTGTGTGTGTGTTCCTTTATATATGGGATCGGATTTCCTACATTTTTCAACCGATTTCAACAAAACTTCACTTTTTTTTGGCAGGTACCGTTTCTTATTGTCTTGCACACTTTTTTCTTTATTTTTACATTTAGAATGCTTTAAAAATTCCATTTACAAGACAATTGTTTATAATAAAATTCTATCCAATCAGTAGACTCATAACGATTGAAAACACTGTTTTTGTTTGAGTTTGACCAATTCGTAAAAAAAACAAAACAAAAAAACTAATTAAGACATGCATGTCCATCAACCTTAAACAATAATCTTTGTCAATTTTATTTTTCAGTCTTTATGATGGTCGATACTTGATCTATCTCTTATTGTTGCAACGCCGGGCTCTACTGCTAGTATCTAATATATAGAATGAAAAGGAAGAAAGTATACACTTGCATAAATTGGGGTGGGGATGTATCAAATATCTGACCGGATTTATTTAACCTTTACAGTCAGGCACTCTTAAGAGAACTACAATTTCTATCAGGATCTGTTATGAGTGGACACTATCTTAACATAAATACATCTTAAGACAAATACAGAAAGACAACTGGAAAAACTCCTTGATAAGGTCATAAAGGAAAGTGAGAAGAAAGGACAAACTATCAACTGTAAATAGAATGCCTGGTTAAGAGGGATAGCCCAAGACATGAACTACAAATTGGAGATGCCAAAATGAAATGAGAGAAAAATTGAACTTCCTGGGAAGTGTTTTAATAGACAGTGGAAAATGTGATACAGAAATCCAAAGCTACATTGGAATAACTGAAGATCCAAGAGACAGGAAAATTTCAAAATGTAGCAAAGATAAGTATACTAAACTACTATGGAATATTAATCCTTCTCTCTGGTAGTGAATACTGGACAATTTTCTCACAGATAAAGAGAAGACTTGAGATATCAGATATGAGGATCTGATACCTCAAGTCTTGAGACTTGATACTTCAAGACTTGAGGTATCAGATATGAGGATCTATAGAAGAATGTTGAGAATATCAGTTAGCAACAGGGAAGGTTTTATGGTAAATAGAAATGAAAATGACACTTGTGCTTAGGATCAGAAAGAGACATTTAAACTTTCTTTGACACACAATGAAGAAGGAGGGCTTGGAGAAACAGACACTTGCAACACATATTGAGAGACAGAGTTAAACAATGAGTCACTTACCTAATGAGCTTGTGTAAATGAATGGTAGAATGTGCACTGGGAGATATAGTAAAGGAAGTTGTGGAGTGTCATGATCATCCACATTCTGAAAGGACATGGCATGTAAAATAAGAATAATCACAGAATCATTTCACAAGTCATTAAACTCTAACAGCACAAGAATACTCTTTGTTATTCTGAAGATGGAATCAACATCAAAGTTGGAACCATTTTCTTTTTAATTCTTTTGTAATGACCAATTATCATTATTACATATTCTGATTAACTCAGATTAGTAGTTGGATTAGGTTGGTGGACTTATGACTTGTTATATAAGCTTACACTATATCATGTTGAAATATTGGTTCTCATCTGATCACTGAAGTTAAGCAACATTGAGCATGGTCACTACCTAGATCAGTGATTGATTGGGAATACCAGGTGCTGTAAGCCCATCCCTATGAACACATATTAGCCCAGCATGGCAGGGTAATGGCCCATTTCTTCCAGTGAATGACAAACTAATTGGAAAGATCTGGGAAATCCTATGTCCAACAAAGTACTTTCACAGGCTGATTAAGGTGTTATTTAATGTCAAAATTTTTTTATTATTCCTAAGTTTACTTTAGTAAAACTTCTCAAATCTAGTTCAGTTGATATTAATTTCACTGTTTAAGAAAATAAGAACAGTGATGTCAACTCAAACTTATGTACCCATTAAAAATAATATTTATAGAAATAAGAAATAATTTTGGATTAAAAATCTGTTTTGAAAAAGATCCTGTTTATATTTTGGGTATAAAAATAAAGATAGCAGAGACAGATTCAAAAATTCCTAATGAGAGATATGCATTCTTTAAGTAGGTAATGGAGTTTTGCCTTATCATAATAATCTCCTGTGGCCTAATTAGTAAGGGAGATTATCATAAAGCAAGGGTATATTTTGGCTATAGGAGAGGTTTCATAATGAAAAAAAGGAAATATGGTTGATTCCTATTGGGAAGCATATTTTTCTTGAGAAGGATTTCTAGATCTAGCCTGGTTGACATTAATTTCTCTGCTTACATGAAAAAAAAAATGAAAACAAGGATGCCAACTCGCATCTACAAAAAATAACATAGTAATAAAATGAGTCTATCAATAAAGTTAGGTTTGTGTCCTACTCGACTCTGCAAGCATCTCTTCACACAGTGGCATAGTCTAGGCTCTACTGACAGGGCAATCATCTTGGGTGTTATCAAAACATTTTAATGGTTGTACTTTCCAATATCATCAGGAGTCTATTGGACTTGGTAAAATTCCTAGCATTCCAAACTGAACCATTTGGTCAATCTACACAGTAGATTGTCCTTAATTCAATATCTATATTTGGACTGGGTTTTGTTTCAGCAAAGAAAGATAGAGAAAGGAATTTGGGGTTGCTTGACAACAAAGAGAATGACCTCCTAAGAAAGTAAGAAAGAATCAGTCGCCTATGCTCACATGATATATCACCAAGTGAGATTTTGATACTGTAACTTTAGTTTTCCGATGACCTCCAATGACAAGAGTTCACAAAAAAAGCATACTCTCATCCTGTGATTGTGAAGGATAAGAAATACACCCACAAACCTATTCCAATACTCGTTGTGTAAGGAATAAGGAAATTTCACCTTGGAGAACTTGGATCTATTTTACTATTTAATGGGTAATGTATAAAGGAAGATCAGGCCACAAAAATAGAGAGAAATCACAGTATTTTCATCTCAGATGCCATCCAAGTAAACAAGGGAGAATGGAACACAAACATTATTCCAGAAGCTTATATTTTACATTTTTGAAGAAAGAACAACCAACTTTTGTGAACATTCTACAGAAAATTTGTCTGTCATTACAAACATTTAAACTCCAAATTCCTACAACACAAATATTTGAACTGACATCCAATATCAGTTAAATGTTCTTATATTAATTGTACATCCGTCACTCCATATTTTTTCTATATTTTGTACTTTGTTATATAAGATTTATTTACAAGTGCTCATCTTGTCTTTGGGGTTCATCAGTAGCTGTTCATATGTTCATAAGTTCCTATCTGAGAGAACCCAATGTTTATCTTTTTTTTTTTTTAGAACCTGAGGTTCATATTTTTAAAAGTTGAGAATTTGTAACAATATATATATATGTATATTAGGACCCTGAATAAGTTCTCACTGTTTTCCAACAGATGGCATTCCCAGAATTCTGTGTGATTGTGTATAGTTTCAGATGGTGATGCAGCTATAAAGAAGTATGATAAGCAAGCTTGAAATTCAGTGTATGTCATTTTGCCAAAGTGTAAACAACTTTGTTTTTCATAATGTTAAACATGTTGGATTTCATGCCAAAGAAAGTGTATTTGCGGGGAATTTTACTGCACTAATTTATTCAAAAGAAATCTGCAACTGAAGCACACAGAATTCTTGTTGAGACTTATGGTGACCATACTCTGTTGGAAACAACATACAGAGATTGGTTCTGATGCTTCAAAAATAATGATGTCGATGCTGAAGATAAAGAACACTCTGGTGCAACGAAGAAGTTTGAAAATGAAGAATTGGAGGCATTACTTCATGAAGACTCATGTTAGGCACAAGCTGAGCTTGCAGAATCATTAGCAGTTGATCATACAACAGTTTCAAAATGTTTGAAAGCATTAGGAATGATTCAAAGGCAAAGACGTTGGGTGCTGTATGAGTTGAAGTCGAGAAACTTTGAAAAGCATCTTGTCATGTGTGAACAACAGCTTCAATGGCAGAAAAAGAAAGTTTTTTTTTGCATTGTATCATGACCAGCAATGAAAAGTGGATGAACTACAATAACCCTAAGTCTAGAAGATTGTAGGGTAAGCCTGGCCATGCATCAACATTGGTGGCAAAGCTGAATATTCATGGTTCAAAGCATCTGCTTGGCATTTGGTGGGATCAACTGGGTATAGTTTATTATGCGCTGCTCAAAATGACTGAAACCATCACTGGCAATCACTATCAACTACAACTGATGTGCTTGAGATGAGCATTGAAGAAAAAATGGCTGCTGTATGAGCAGAGACACAACAGTGATTTTGCAACATAACACTAGCCCACATGTAGCAAAACAGGTGAAAATCTACTTGGAAACGCTTAAATGGGAAGTCGTATCCCACCCACCATATTCACCAGACATTTCCATGTCCAATTATCACTTGTTCCAATCAATGGCACATGGTCTGGCTGAGCAGTACTTTCATTCTTATGAAGATGCCAAAAAAATGGGTTGACTTAGGGTTAGCCTCAAAGGACGTGTCGTTTTTCCAACATGGAATTCAAAGAAAGATGGGAAATAGTAGGGGTTAGTGATGGTCAATACTTTTTTCTTACTAAGTTTTGTAAATAAAACATTATTTTCCATGAAAAATCAGTGAGAACTTATTCAAGGTACTTATATATATATATATATTAGTGAGAGAGGCCTGAAATAAATATCTTCATTACATTTCATGTGCTTACTCATTATTACCAAACTCCTCCTTAGCATCCATCAACTCGTAGCAACCAGCAACAACATGTTACATGACAAAGTGACTATTACAAAATTTGAACACAGGTCTTATAGTTTAAATGCAACATTTGTTATCCATTAAAATTAAAAAGGTCTTTTAAAGTATTTGGAATAACACAATATTTTATACTTAGGAAAAGGAATATATATATATGTAATTACAATATATTGCACATATAATGCTGCTGTTAATAAAACAGTGGTCAATGTAATACAACAGAGCTATTAAGTGTATGTATATGGCTATGGTTCCCTTTTGTCTTTTTATATCGAGTTCTCTGGTCACTGGCATCTTTGTCTAAAAATAAATACATCTAAATTCACCTTCATCCTTGCCATGCACCAATGGCTTGGGATAAAATTACCAACTGATACCAAATCAGTCGGGTTTCAATCCCGGCTTGAGGCAATCGGATGTCTAGTCACACTGATGAGCTTTGATACAATGAAACAATCTGTCTGTGGATGAATATATATATATATATATATATATATATATATATATATATATATATGTGTGTGTGTGTGTGTGTGTGTGTATATATATATATATATATATAAGAAAGGTTTCATTGAATAATTTAGACATGTTCTATCTACTTATTTTCAATAAGAACAGAAGAGTAGACAGAACATGTCTAAATTATTCAATGAAACATGTCTCAATGAAAACATACTACTGATTATATATATATATATATATATATATATATAGCAGTAGTTGCATTACCATGTGTTAATAATAATTAATATGCTACTCAAGCAGATCCTCATTGGGTACTGACATATGTTGCCTTGTGGCATACAGTGCTTAGTAAATATTTATATTCACCTACCTGTACATATATTCGCAAAGGCTCATACATGAGTATATAAAGAAAAATATAAGCATCAAAATCAGTCCATTTCCATTTTAAATTAACTTCTCCAACACTTTAATTCTGAAATAATCATTTGCACACTTAACCCCAGAGTTAATCTTTTAATATAACTCCCCAATTTACTTTTGAGGAACATCAGGACAAGGCCATAAGGATCTCAATTATTAACTACCAATGGTTTGGGAGCAGCTGCATGACCTTTGTCACTATCCCTTATCTTTTCTTTTTTGGGAGATTGAAAGACAAACAGTCCTCCAATTCTGGTATGCTCTTGAAAAAACATTTTTCAGAGTCTTTCTCTGTGCAATTCAACTTCTCTTCCCCTTTCAAATGTCAAAGGTTCTTGTGAATTTGTTTTATAACAAGAGAAATGAGCATAAATCAGAAAAGACACAAACACATCATATTCTCTTTTTGAAACCTGAATGCTTTTACTAAAATCACTTCATAATTCTATTGGTCATCAGCACCCCCCGCCAAAAAAAAATTCTATTAGCCATCAGCACCCCCCACCAAAAAAACATTTTTTTTTTTGTCTATCATCAAGTAGGCTTTTACTATCAATTCATCTTTCCATTTATTTTATTTCTTATTTTTCATTCATTTTTTACTCTTATTAACAAATAAACTTTCAAAACAAGAGTATTGCTCTTCAAATCTCGTCCAGGCATAATTTTTTTCTGCTCTACTAAATATATATCTTTAGACTCTTTCATCAGATTGCAAGTTTTCTTATGTACAACTTCCCATTTTATGGGGGAGAGAAAATAAAGTAAAATAGTTACTTTTAGCACAACCAATAAAATATAAATTTCAGCAGGTGGCCATATTGGCCAGGTTTTCAGTTCTCACTCATGATTTTAATCTTAAAAAGGTATTTGTTAGGCCAAACCACCTTTGTCATAAAACTGAATTTCTATAAGATTTAGAGAAAATTAATGCCTTAATCAGTGTCACTCAGTATACAAATGTATACAATTTCATGTATGTATATAAATATATTTTTAATCTGA